CTTGGTACCCTCGAGGGTTTCCCAGCCTAGCCGGGAGTGATCTCTCAGCATAGAGCCAGGAGTAAGCCCCGAGCACCCTGGGTGTTGCCCCCAAACCAAAACAAGCAAATTAATCCATTTGGTGGGGGGGCAAAGGCTAGCTTTTTTTTTCTTTTTGGGTCACACCCGGCGATGCACAGGGGTTACTCCTGGCTCTGCACTCAGGAATTACTCCTGACGGTGCTCAGGGGACCATATGGGATGCTGGGAATCGGACCCGGGTCGGCCGCGTGCAAGGCAAACGCCCTCCCCGCTGTGCTATCGCTCCTGCCCCTAAAATAAAAAAAAAAAGTTTAAAAAAAAAACAACTCTCACATTGTGGTGAGTTGTAGTCCCTGGTGCTGCTACATATGCCCAGCGCCATCCTGGCGGCTCTGGGGTCCCTGGTGCTGCTCACAGTTCCCGGGAAGCATGACCACCAGTAAGTAAAGGGTCTGTGAGCAGGAAGGAAGCACACGCCCTGGCGAGCATGTGTGGGAGCACTACAGCCACAACTTGTGTCTTAACCTCAGCTCCAAGCACTGCAGCCAAGTGTGTGATCTGCAGCGGGCACTCCAGCCAGGTGTGTGTGTGACCCTCCCTCATGGCAGCAGTGTCCTCAGAGAAAGGCGGGGGCCACAGGGAGCAGGTACAAAAGAGTTCAGTAAGGGTTCTGGGAGAGAGCACTGGGCTTGGGGCAGCCTTAGTATGCAGGAGACCCAGATTCAATCCCTGATACCGCGGGGTCCCCTCAGCACTGGAATACATCCCAAACACCCACCACCAGGTGTGGCCCCCAAACTGAGCCAAAAGAATAAATCAATATATAAATGGTCCTCTGAGCCTCTTAAGAAAAGAATATTGTGGGCCGGAGCGATAATACAGCAGGTAGGGAGCTTGCCTTGCACACAGGTTCGATCCCCAGCGTCACGTATGGTCCCCAGAGCCTGCCAGGAATGATCCCTGAGTGCAGAGCCAGGGTCAGCCCTGAGCACTGCCAGTGTGGCACAAAAAAAACAAAAACCAACAAAAATGATGGTGATGATGATGCATTTGAAATAGCAAACTTCTGGGTACCACTTCCCCAGCTGTCAGCAGTCCAAGGCGGGGAACTGACATGCTCGAAGGTCACGCAGCCAGCCACCCAGAGGCCTGTGTGGGCTTGTCCAGATCAGGCTGCTGTAGAGACACCCCCCACCCCCACTCCATCTCCGTCTCCTGGAGGGACACCCTGTCTGCCACCCTTCCCTCCTCCCTCTCCCGAGCTGCCAGCCTCGTGATGGCTTGGTTAAGCACTCGGCCGTTAAACGTTCATCTCTTACAATTTCAATCCAATTCCTATAAGTTTATTGGCAAGACGGGGTGTATTAGAGCTGCCAAATTTAATTTATCAAGTCCGTGTGTCTGGGCCGCAGCCTCTCAGCAGTAATGGGAGAAGAGCAGTTTTATACGTTTTCATCGTGAATGACTGTTCCTGCTCCCGTTACAGCCCTTGACTTAATGACGGTCGTGCCTGTCGCCACTGGGGCCCTTTCTCAGCAGCCTGCGTGGCCGCCTGCACGGGCCAGGAGCTGCTCTCTCCATCACGTCTTGCCCAGATGTATCTCCCACTCCTCTGCTTGGTCTTTATCTGCTCCAGCCTGGGAATCTGGGGCTTTTGTCGCATGCCTGCCTGCCTCTTTCCTCTTTCGGGCCCTGAGAAAATCTGGTTCTTCTGGGCCGCAGCTGTCTGTTCTGTGAAACTCCTAACCTGACTGCTCCCGGCCGGGTCCTAGAATGTCATATGTAAAAGTAGCACACCAAAGCTCAGGTAGGCGGGCTCAAGGCTCGGGAGTGGCATCTGGCATTGCTGGCAGGGTAGTGGTGGAAAACCATAGGCGGTGCCAGGGATTGAACTGGGCTCCACTGCATGCAACACATGGCACCTTACCACCGGTCCCAGGAACAAGGGGGGGAAAAAACAAGACTTGTATTTTCTCTGAGAATAAGAATAAATGGACTGTCACAGGGCCAGACCTGACAAACAGCCAAAGAGCCATCTTGAATATCAGTCTCAGTCAACTGCCTCCAGGAAGTAGAACATCCAGTAGACCTCAGGCTTAACAACAAGGTAAAAAGTAAGGGGCGGAGGGGGGGTGGAGGGAGGCTGGAGTGATGCTCAGCGGGTGGGGCGTTTGCCTTGCATGCAGCCGACCCAGGTTCTATTCCCAGCATCCCATATGGTCCCCTAAGCATGCCAGGAGTGATTCCTGAGTGCAGAGCCAAGAGTAACCCCTGTGCATCGCCGGGTGTGACCCAAAAATAAATAAATAAATAGATAAATAAATAAATAAGGGGGGCAGGGGCTGGAGCCATAGTACAGCAGGTAGGGCGTTTGCCTTGCATGCAGCCGACCCAGATTCAATCTCCAGCATCCCATATGGTCCCCCAAGCCCCGACAGGAGTGATTCCTGAGTGCAGAGCCAGTAGTAAGCCCTTTGCATCACCGAGTGTGACCCAAAAGGAAAAAAGGGAGCAAGGGGAGCCAGAGCCATATAGCACAGCAGGTAGGGCATTCGCCATACATGTGGCCGACCCATGTATGTGTGTTATACCCAACACCCCACATGCTCCCCTTTATCCCGCCAGGAGTGATCCCTGAGTGCAGCGCCAGAAGTAAGCCCTGAACACCACTGGGCATGGTATAAAAACAAAACAATCCCCCAAAACTAAGTATGTGCAGACGTAATAGTAAGATGAAAAGTATGCCCACTCCCCTCCCTGGTCACAAAGGCATGAAATGCGGACACGGTTTCTCTTCAGAGGCTCTGAGGCTCTGGGAGCCTCCTGCCAGGGACCTTTCCGAGTTGTTTCCTCCATCTCCATCCCTCCCCCCCATCCCTCGTCCCCCCACCCCCACGACCCTCACCCCCGCCCACACACACACACTTTTTGTTTTGGTTTTAGGCCATACCTGGCAGCGCTCAGGGCTTACTCCTAACTCTGTGCTCAGGAATTACTCCTGATGGGATTCGGGGGGCCATATGGGACGCTGGGCATCGAATCTGGATGGGCCGTGTGCAAGGCAAGCGCTCTGCCCGCTCCAGCCCCACCATCTCCCTTTAAATAGAACTGTGTGGGTCTGATCAACTCAGCTCTGTCTTACTCTTGTCTCTTTTCTCCAGGCTTCAGACCCAGAAACCAGAGACAAAGAGCCTGCCTGATGCAGCACTGTCTCTCTGGCCTTGGGACTGTGGGGTCTTAAGGGTTTTAAGACCCTGAAGCCTTCTTATTTCCTGCTGCGATTAGCTGGGGTCCTGCAGCCTGAGATTGGTCTGTACATTTCCTCCAGGGTCCTTTGGCTTCTCAGCCTTGGGCTTGAGTGTGGCAGGGGGCAGGGTTAGGGACCTAGGTTGACCTGGTGCTCACCAGCTGTGTGACCTTGGACAAGTCACTCCTCCTCTTTGAATTTCAGCCATCACTCAAGGAAAATGGGAAGCTGCTCCTCGATTCAACTGTTAACTCAGTTGCCGCCTCTGCATCACGCACCAGTTTTGGTGCCGAGGCTTCCTCAGTAAACCACGAGTATCCCAGCCCTGCAGAGATTTATAGTTCTACTGTGGGGAGAGACCGTAAAACGTGACAGATCGCTTATTTCTTCGAGGGGGATCAAAACGAAGCAGGGGACTGGGAAAGCTTAGTGGCGGTTTCTACAGCGTGAAGCAAAGTGGTCACAGCAGATTCTGGGGCTGGAGACCCAGTAGTGGCGCCCCGAGCCAGGAGCGGAGTGAGCGAGAGTGGCAGCTCTCTTGGGGGAAGCATCGGGGGCCAACATGGGAGCTGGGGGGTGTGCCCGGGGGTGAGCAGCGAGGGGCCTGTGTGGCAGCAGAGGGATCTGGAGAGAGGGTCAGCAGTGGCAGAGGGAGGCTGGCCAGTGGGTTCAAGGTGGTGATTTTCCAGCCTGGTTCCGAGTGAGCGCTCCCTGGGAGACTTACTTGGCCGCAGTGGAGGTATTTGTGGAGGTCACTCGTGGCAGTGCTGAGGATCAAACCCAGCTTCCTGCGTGCAAAGCGCCTTCTTCCCTCTCTTCTTCCCTCCCATCTTCCGGACCCCTCTCCAGGAGACTTTATTTGTAGGGAGCAGAGTTTAGGCCACACTTGGTGGTCCTCAGGGCTTACCCCGGCTCTGTGCTCAGGGTTCACATCCCCTGATGGTGCATAAGACTATATGCTGAAGTTCAAGTACATTCCAAGCAATGGGGCTAGAACGATAGCACAGCGGGTAGGGCGTTTGCCTTGCCTGTGGCCGACCCGGGTTCAATTCCCAGTATCCCATATGGTCCCCCGAGCACCACCAGGAGTAATTCCTAAGGGCCAAGTGTGACCCAAAAAAGCAAAAAATAAATAAATAAATAAGTACATTCCAAGAAAGTGCCTTACTACCTGTCTGGTCCCTGGAGACTTTATAAAACTGATGCCTGGGCCTTAACCCACTAAGGCTCCCTTCACCGGAGTCTGGGCATCTGCATCCTTAAAGGTTCCACCTGGAGGGGCATGGTGACGGCCCCTGCCTTCCAAGCACGAAGCCGAGAGTGATCCCTGGTGCCACCCCATGCCCAGTAGTCACAGACCCGGCAGCTCTGCCCTCCAAGACCCCCCCGGCTCTGCCCAGAGGTGCCAGGGCCCAGCCAGGTGTGTGCTGCCCTGCTGAGCATCACGGCCAAACATGCGGACAGCAGGGCCAGTGTCCACAGCCAAGTGTACGAACAGCAGGGTCAGTCCGGATCCATTGCAGCAGCAGCAGTGGCGGCGAGGGGAGGAAAGGAGCAGAGGGAGGGTCCCGTGAGCGAGGCTCTCACCCGCCGTGGCGCATGAACGGGCCGGCGCTGAGAAGCCTTGCTGAAGGGGACCTGCCGGTGGGACTCGTTCGCCTTCTGCTGACCCGGCCCCACGGGGAGCTTTGGTCACCTCCAGCCCCTGATCCTGCGCTCTGTGTCATCTCAGGCAGGCGGCCATGGGGAAGCGTTACTTCTGTGACTACTGTGACCGCTCCTTCCAGGACAACCTCCACAACCGCAAGAAGCACTTGAACGGGCTGCAGCACCTCAAGGCCAAGAAGGTCTGGTACGACATGTTTCGAGGTGGGTGTCTGCGGGGCGGCCGGGCTGGCCTTACGGTCCCACAGAGGTGGCACAGCCCCTAACTCCGGCTCTGGGCAGGGCGCAGGAGGGCCCTCGGGTCAGCAGGCTCCTTTCCCCAGAAGTCTTGGCGATGCTGAGGAGGTGGGGGCCGGAACGCACGGCCTCTGGGGGCAAAGCCTGTTCTCTCCCCAGATCCACGTTCATGGCTCCTTTTTTTGGTTTTTAGTTTGGTTTGGTTTGGTTTGGTTTTAGGGGCTCACCCAGTGCGGCTTCGGAGCTATTCCCTGCATGGTGCTTCTCATATGCAGTGCTCAGGGTTCACGCCTGGCAGTACTGGGAACCCGATGGTGCCAGGAATCAAACCTGAGGCTCTGTCACACAAAGCATGTGCTCCAGCCTTGACTCATCTTACCCACCTCCCTTTTTAAAATTTTTTGCTCTTTTCACACGCAGTGGTATTCAAGGGCTACTCCCGGCTCAGTGCTCAGAGGTTTTTCACGATGCCAGAGATGGAGCCTGGAGCTTCTGCATGCAAGGCATGTGCTCCAGCCCCCCTTATTACTTAATGGGGGGATGGGGTTTGGGTCACACCCCATGTCGCTCAGGGCTTATTCCCAGCTCTGCACTCAAGGATCAGTCCTGGGACTGGAGCAATAGTACAGCAGGTAGGGCGTTTGCCTTACACGCAGCTGACCTGGGTTCGATTCCCAGCATCCCATATGGTTCCCCGAGTACTGCCAGGGGTAATTCCTGAGTTCAAAGCCAGGAGTAAACCCTGTGTACCGCCGGGTGTGATGCAAAAAAAAAAAAAAAGAAGAAGAATCAGTCCAGGCAGAGCTTGGGGGACTATGTGAGGTGTCGGGGATCAAGCCCAGGTTGGTCATGTGCAAGGCGAGAGCCTTACCTCCTGCCCTATCTCTTGGGCCCCCAGCAGTCTGGATCCAAGTCCGTTCTCCAGGACATGTGCCAGGCCCTGAGTTCCCGTGACCCATCAGAGGGAACATTTGAGCCAGCATCCAAAGCGCAGGGGACAAGCCAGCCACAGCACCCTGGGCAGTGGGCACACAGATGCCCCCACACAGGAGCAAAGTGCCCAGAGAAGATGGGTAGGGCAGGGGTGGCCCTGGCAGGAGCAGGGAAAGGGGTGGAGGGGTGAGGCTGGCTCCAGGGCAGGGCTGGCAGCAGCCTGTCGAGGCCACGGTAAGGAGGTCAGTGGTCCTGTGAGCCTGTGCAGCCTTGCAGGGGTTTCAGCAGCGGCAGCGGTGGGTGACAGCCATGACTGACTGCCCTGTGAGCCTTGGGGTACAGTAAACGGCTGGTGAGTGACTGGCTGGACAGCTGAATAACTGAGCTGCTTACAGGAGGCTCTTCTGGGAAGTGCTGCTCTGAGCGGAGGAGCCGAGGTCGCCTGGCGCATAAAGACACTCATGGAAGGGAGGTGCCCCACCCCGACTCCCTAGACACCGTGGAGCTATGCGGTGGGGGGGGGGGGGCACCTGTGCCCCCGCCCGTGGGAAGGAGCAGAAACTGAGCAGCCAGTAGGGCGGACCAGCAGCCACTGAATGAGCCCAGGCAGGGCCCACGGCTTGAGCATCGAGAAACAGGACGCCTGAGGGAAGGAAGGACAGAGCTGGGCCCAGGAGGGCAGGAGCTCAGGGCTGCGTGCTGGACGCCCTGCTCGGATCCTCAGTGTCACCTGGTCGCCTCCACACTGCCAGGTGGGAGGTGGTACATAGCCCGGCTGTACTATGGCTCTGGCCATGCCTCAAGGCCTTTAAACAAACCCTGACTCCACCCAGCCCCAGCCCCAGATTTAAGGTGGGTCTAAATTTTTTTTTTTTTTTTTTTGCTTTTTGGGTCACACCTGGCGATGCTCGGGAGTTACTCCTGGTTCATGCACTCAGGAATTACTCCTGGCAGTGCTCGGGGGACCATATGGGATGCTGGGAATTGAACCCGGGTCGGCTGCGTGCAAGGCAAACGCCCTACCTGCTGTGCTATTGCTCCAGCCCCGGGTCTAGATATTTTTAAAGCTTTTCCCATTTCAGGGGCTGAAGCATAGCACAGTGGGTAGGGAGTTTGCCTTGCACACAGCCGACCCGGGTTCGATTTCCAGCGTCCCATATGGTCCCCTGAGCACCGCCAGGAGTAATTTCTGAGTACAAAGCCAGGAGTAATCCCTGCACATCGCCGAGTGTGACCCAAAAAGAAAACAAAACAAAACAAAACTCCCCATTTCAGATGAAGAAGCTGAGACATCTTGGGTGAGGGAAGGGCTTTCCGGCCACATGAAGCAGGTGGGCACGACTGTGGCTGGGAAGGGCTGGAGGCGGGCAGAGGCCACTCAGCGGCAGAGGGACTCCCGGGAGCCTAGGATACCTGGTCACAGTCCCCATGGGAGGCTGTGACATGGCCTAGAGCTCTCCTTGGGGTTTCACCCTTAGCCCCGATTCTCACCTCACGGCAGCCAGGTCTCACGAGGGGCTGATCGACAGAAGCAAAGCTGAACTCGAGGACTCAGAGGGCGGAGAGATTCTTTGTGTTCCGGCGACCCGGGCTGATCCCCTGAGCCGTGTGGTTCCCCCAGGATTCCCAGAGTTCTTTCTCATTCCTGTCCACATTCGCTCTGTAAAATAGCTTGGCAAGGAAGGCGATGGCAGTGGGGTGAGGGAACAGGGGTCCTCACTCAAAGGGGGGGAACATTGAGGGCCAGAGCAGTAACTCCCCTTGCCTAGGGTCCCTTTGAGCTCCTTCTGCTCCCATGAAGGCTGTCCCAGGCCTCCATCTCACCCAGCCCAGTCCAGACTTGGGGCAAGCACGGGGTACCCCAGCCTGGCCAAAGGTGCCGCACCTGCTCTTCCAGCTTCTGGCCCCAGAGACTGGCTGCTCCCTCCGCCTTGGCCAGGACAAGCAGGGAGCGAGGTTGCCCGGCCATCAGTCCCTGGGCCTCGGGACCATGGTGACAGTAGTCACCTGAATTTTATCACATCACTAGTCACAGCCACAGCGCCCACCCCCCAGGAGTGGGAGGGGGACTCGGTCATCTGGGAATGACTACAGGTGCACAGAGGCTTGGCCGTGGGCTCATTCATGCAGCCAACACCAGGCCAGCTCTGAGCACTTCACAGGTCCTCAGCCCCCAGGTAGGCTCTGAAGCCTTTTTCCTCCCACCCCCTTCTTTATTTTGAGGGTATGGGAGGTTTGATTTGTTGTTTTGGGGTCATAGCCGGTGTGCTCAGGGGTTACTCCTGATTCTGCACTCCAGAATTACTCCTAACAGTGGTCAGGGGACCATACGGGGTACCGGGGATTGAACCCGAAGCCTTAGGAGACAAGGACAGGGTCCTGCCCGGCCTCAGGCCCTACCAGCCTCCCCTTCCTCCTGAACTTGGCCATGCGGGCTGCTGTAGGCCCCGGCACCCTCCAAGTCTGTGTCCTTGCCGTCTCCCCTCACCTCTGCCTGGCCCTCCTCTGTGGGGACTCAAGTCGAGCAGCAAATCCTGGATGTCCTCCCCAACCCCCGACCTGGGTCAGGTCATCTGGCCGCTTAGCTCCACATGGATTAGTGTGGCTGCCGGACCGGAAGGCAGGACCAGGGCTCACTTGTACTCCACTAAATCCTCATTCTGGCCAGGTGCCTGGCACCCGGGACGTGTTCGGTAAATGTTTGTTGGACGATTGTCCAAATGAACGAGCAAACAGACACGGGGCACCAGGGCAGCTGTTGATGAGGGAGCTGAAGCGGGAAGGGCCCGAGGGTCACCTCACATGGAGTGCGGGCAGCGGGGGGCAGGGTCCCAGGCTGAGGCTTCTCAGTCCCGGGGGCGCTGGGGGGCACTGGGGAGCTTTGCGTAGCTCTCCTGCCCACCCGCTCAGCTGAATTGAAACAGATCTGAAGAAGGTGGGTTGGGGGGGGAGCGGGCAGAAAAATAGAATCGGGTTAAAACCGTGAGCTGGAGAGATAGTCCAGCGGTTAGCGTGCCTGCCTTGCATGCAGCCGACCCAGGCTCCATCCCCAGCACGCCATAGGGTCCCCCAACCCCTACCAGGATTGATCCCTGAGCGCAGAGCCAGGAATAAGCCCTGAGCACCACCAGCTGTGGCCCCCAAACCCAACCAAAACAACAAAAAGCTTCCAGGGTCCTTTGGATGAGGATGATCTGGATGACACAGGAAGGTCTGCGGCCAGTCAGGTGGGCAGAGGTCCTTCCATATTCCTCCAGGCCACCCTGAGTTGAGTGCTCACGTAACCTTTTGTTTGTTTTTGAGCCACCCCTCGTGATGCTCCGGGCAGGGTGGCCCCTGCAGGAGAGGGCGCCACACGCAGCCCTGCACGCGCTCCCCCGCCCTGTGGTTTTGGGGGGGCTTCCATGCTGCGCTGGTCCCTGTGCGTGCCGGGCATGTGCTCTAGACCTTTGGGCTATCTCTGCAGCCCAAATAAGTGCACTTTGACAGCTCCTTTTCTTTTCTTCTTTTCTTTTTTTGGGGGGGGATTTGAGGGGGGCACACCTGGTAGTGTTCAGGGCTTATTCCTGGCTCCGCACCTAGGGACCATATGGGATGCTAAGCCTTACCTGCTACACTATAACTCCTACAGTAACTATAGCTCCGGCCCCCTACAAGTTGCTTCTTTTTTAACCAACTCTTAAAGAGGTTTGGGCTGGAGCGATAACACAGCAGGTAGGGCGTTTGCCTTGCACACAGCCAGCGTGGCCGACCCGAGTTCGATTCTCTCGGAGCTACCGAGAGTATCTTGCCTGCACGGCAAAGCCTGGCAAGCTCCCCGTGACGTATTCAGTATGCCAAACACAGTAACCACAAGTCTCACGATGGAGACGTTACTGGGCCCGCTTGAACAAATCGATGAACAACGGGAGGACAGTGATTAAAGAGGTTTAGCCCCTCACCTGCCCCGCCCTGGGGAAGGGAAGTGCCAGTAGGGCTGGTTACCCACCAAGAGATGTGCAGCGCGTGGGAACGGCAGGTGCTTTAGACTCACATGCCAGGGTTCATGCCTGACATGGCCACTTGCTGGTGGTGTGCTCTGGGTGTGTCGTTGCCCCTGCTCCTACCAGCCTCTCCACTCTGCAGAATGGAGGTGAGAGGGTGGTGAAAGCCCCGCCCAGTTCTCAGCCTGTTCCCCCAGGGGGAGCATGATCCTGTGGCTGATTTTCCCCTCTGCAAAGCTGATTTTGTTGTCACTTTCACAGGAATCTCCTTCTAGCTTTTAGTTTGTTTGGTTTTTATTACATTTATTTTTTTCCTTTCAGCTTTTTTATTTTGAAGCAATTATCAACCCACAGGAAGTCAGTATGGCAGTGCAGGGAAGTCTTGTGGTGCCAGGATTTTGTTGTGTTTCACGTTCTGCAGGGTCTGGGATGTGATTCAAGTGGCAGGGCATCTAGTCTTGGGTGGGATCCCTGGAACTGCTGGTCTCCCCCACCCCCAGGATCCCCACCGGATGTGGCCCCAGGCTTCTGAGCAGCAGCTCAGGTCATTCCTGTGCCGTCTGAATTGCCAGGAGGGGTGGGTGGGAGAGACGGGTGGGAGGGCTGGAGCGCAGGCTTTCCCTTCTCCAGTCCCAAACTCGTGGTCCCAGCCCCGCCCTTCCCCAGCAGTGCTCAGGGGTGGTTCCTGGCTCTGTGCTCAGGAATGTCCTCTGGTAGTGTTCAGGGGTTTTGAGCAGAGATTGGTGGCATGCACGGCACCTGCCTTGACCCATCCTGGAGAACCTGTGACCTGGTTCTTGGATGAAGAGCGCCTTCCTCTCCCCCAGATCTCGGTGATGGGAGGTGCCCGTGCACAGCACACGTCTGAAGCCATGTCCTCTTTCTTGCAGATGCTGCTGCCATCTTGCTGGACGAGCAGAACAAGAGGCCATGCAGGAAGTTCCTGCTGACAGGTGAGGCACTTCTCTCGGCTCTACACTGGCCCCCACCCCCAGCCTGCAGAGCCTGCCCTGCACACCAATCCCCCTACCTCCCAACCTGCAGAGCCCGCCCTGTGCACCACCCCCTCCTCCAGCCTGCAGAACCCGCCCTGCACACCGCCCCCAACCCCAAAGCCTGCAGAGCCCGCTCTGCACAATGGCCCCCTCTTCCCGCAGCCTTCAGAGCCCACCCTGTGCACCGGCTCCATCCCCAACCTGCTTTATGACCTTGGTGCATTAGTCTAATGGTCTCAGTGGGGGTCGTAGGGGCTTCCTTGGTGCCCCAGGATATTCTAAGGGCACCCCCAGTGAAAATCACGTGCCTGGCGGTGTCACAGCATGAAAATAGATGGCCAGTCGGTAGGACAGGGGCCACAAGAAGAAAACAAGGTTGAGAGGAGGCCACAGTTGGGAACTGGTTGAGGAGCTGCATTAGCCGGCGGCTGCTTTGCTCCAGGAGCTCCTGCTTAGAGCTCCCGGCTGGTCCTCGGCTGTTTGCACCTAGGACCTAGCAGGTTGGTTTGGTTTGATTTTAGCTTGTTCAGGGCAAACGGGCCCTGGAAGAGTGCAATAAGCCCGGGAGGTTCTAATGGTTGAAAATAGACGGACTCAGGGGGCCGGAGCAGTAACACAGTGGGTAGGGCATTTGCCTTGTACATAGCCGACCTGGGTTTGATCCCCGGCATCCCATATGGTCCACCAAAAAAAAAAAGAAAAAGAAAAGAAAATAGATGGACTCATTTCCTGGAGGAGCTGAAGCATCCTACAGGGCTGGAGACAGTAACAGGTCTGGTGGTGCTGAGACGGGTCCAAATTAGAGCCCAGGATAACAGGTACTGATCTGCCTGCGCTGCACCCAATGAACAGCATTCAAAAAGAGGAAAGCCAGGACCTTTAGGGCCAGAGTCACACAGCTGAACCTGCCTGGGCACTGTGAATGGGGTCCTGAGCATGGCCAGGAGTGACCCCTGGGCACAGAACCAGAACCAGGAGTAAGCCCTGAGCACCACCAGGAGTATCCCCATCCCTAACCCCCGGGGAAAAAAAAAGAGGGATAGAAGAGAGAAAAGCCTGAGTCAGTGAAGAAACCCAAGGCAGATGGAGGCAGGAGGAAGAGTGAGACAAAATCCGGAGGATGGTCTGGGTCCTCCGTGCTAACCGAGAGGGCCTGGGGACTCTCCGGGTGGCTGAGCTTCCCGGGAGCCACGGCAAAGAGGAAAACCATGATCAGTAACAGGACAGCGAGGCCACGGAGCTATGGGGGGAGGCACTGCTGACGGCCGAGGGGGCCTGGGCTCCCCTCCTGGTGCCGTGCTGTCCCCAGGATGGACACCCACAGACCACCTCGGGAGGCTTCTCTGGGCCCCGGAGAGTGTAGTACATCGAGGCAGATGCTTGCCTAGTGCCTGCCTAGCCCCAGTCCCATCCTGGTGCCCCAGATGGAGTGCCCGAGCCCTGCGTGTCGAGATGCAAGCAGGGCTACGTGGCAGGCACTCAGAAGCCTCCCTGCACTTCAGAACGTCCTCGCCGACTCCTCGGGGGAGGAACTGAACTGCAGGGCGGGCACATGTACGCGCAGCCCCAGGGAATGCCCACAGTGCCGGGCTCCATTCCGCAGAGACTCTCGAGCAACCCCGTCCCCAAAGGCAACAGGAGGTGCCGACCCCCAGCGCAGAAAGGCTCTGGCCAGCCCCTCGGGCTGCTTTGGCTCCCCAGGCGGCCGGAGCCAGGGCCCAAGCTGGTTTCCTTCGGGCGTGGGACTGCTACTCTTTAGGCCATAAAAGCCGTGCCCCTAAAACTCCGAGACCCCGCCTCAGCGCCCCTCAGCCCTCAGCCCTCCGCCTCCCGCCGCCCAGTAGCCCACACCCCTGCGTTCCCTTCCAGGCCAGTGCGACTTTGGCTCCAACTGCAGATTCTCCCACATGTCGGAGCGCGACCTGCAGCAGCTGAGTATCCAGGTGGAGGGTGCGTGAAGCGGGACCTGCGGGCCCGGGGGGAGGCGCCACTGGGAAGGAGCTGGGGCCTGGAGAGGGGCGCATGTGTCCGGAGCTGTCCCCAGACTGCCCGTGGTGTGAGTGACCTCTGCGCACCCTGTGTCCCCTGCTGGGTGTAGAGTGACATTTGGGAGCAGGGACCGTAGCCCAGGAGCCCTGGGGCTGCACCTCAGTCCCGCCTGGCATCCCCGCTGCTCCATCAGCATCACGTCCAACCCCCGTCCTTGGTGCCTCGACTGTTGGGTCGGGCAAGTGAAGAGGCCGCCTCCCTTCCACTCTGGGCCCCCTCAGTGGGATTCCAGGGAGGCACCGCTCCCCTCCCTTAGGAGCCAGAGAACAGGGGGCTTGGGGGATGGGGAGCTAGTTCAGAGGACTGAGTTCATGCCTGAGCACAAAGCCGGGCGTAGCCCCTGAGCATCACCAGGTGTGGCCCCAAAGCCAAAAAGAGAGAGAGAGAGAAAATGAGCAGGGAGACTCCCGCTTAGATGGTCTTTCAAGCATCTTGCGCAGTGGGACAAATGGAGAGACAGCACGTGAGCCCCGAGCCAGTTAGAAGCTGCCTCGGTCGTCTGCAGGGTGCAGTGCTCCCCCTTCCCGCCAGGGCTCATGCAGCCCATGAGTGTCTGGGGCAGCCTGGCCTTTGCCCTTGTCCGGGGCACACCGACCTCATGCTCCTCTGACCCTGTGGGCCTCGCCCCATCCGGTGCCCACCTGCCACCCTGGCATGTGCCCAGGTTTCTTTCTAGGAGCTCAAGGAAGTGCAGCCCCCGGGGTCAGCCTGCAGCGAGATTATGTCATCCCCCTGCTGGGGCCCAGGGCAAGGAGGGCTCGGGCCAGGGACCTGAAGCTGGAGGCCGTGAGTCAGAAAGAGAGCAGAGATGCTGGGCCGGCCCTGGCACACGGCTCAGCCATGTGGAGGCGTGCCCTGACGTGTCGTCCGTGCCCACTGGGGAAGCAGCAGCGGGGGTCACGTGTGTGGCGCTCGCCCACAGATAGGGAACGCCTCAGCCCAGCTGTCTGGCTCCCTCTAGCCTCGGCCCCCTTCTGAGACTTCTAGAAAAGGTGGCGCCCCCGTCTCTCTCCCACCAGCTGGGACTCCAGTGCTCAGACCCGGGGCCAAGATTTGCTGGGGTGGGGACAAAGCTGGCGAGTGCGGCTCCTTGCTGGTCTGGGCCAGAGACCCGGCTCGTGGCGAGGCCAGATTGAAACACGGCCCAGCCTGTTTTCTTCTGCAGCCACACCACCACCCCAAAAAAGTAGGGGGGCGCGGGGCCGGAACCACCAGAAAGAGAGGACAGTTGGGCGCTTGCATGCAGCTGACCCGGGTTCAAGTCCCAGCACCCTGTATGATTCCCCCAACCCCACTAGGAGTGAACTTAAGTGCAGAGCCATGAGTAACCCCCTGGGCATCGCCAGGTGTGGCCCCTCAACCCAGACAGGTGGGGGCGGAGGGTCAGCCAGGGTTTGGGACCATTTCCAGATAAAGTAGAAAGGCCATGGGGGACCGTTGCTCGTGGTAGGGACAGACCCGAGACTACCCAGCCGGCCCCGGGTTCCTGCTGCAGGGGTGAACCTGCTTCTCACCGGCCTGTCCTGTCCTCACAGAGGAGAGACGGGCCAGGGAGTGGCCACAGGAGGTCGCTGAGCCCCCCGAGGGCACTCTGGAGGACTGGCTGGAGAAGAGAGCCAAGCGACTGAGCTCAGCCCCAAGCAGCAGGTACACCTCACCGCCCCCGGCCCCCCTTTGCTCATCCTCGGGGGGGCAAGGACCCTGCCATCCTTCCAGCTGGCTCAGACGCGCCCCTCGACATCTGGGCCTCTCCCGCACCCCTGAGCACGCAGCATGGGAACGAGGCTACTTGTAACTGGGGGCCCTGCTGGGGAGTCCCTGGGAGCTCAGGCCCCGGCCCCTCTGACACTTTCTGGGTGCTCACTTTCTCCCCAGGGCACCGGTGCACCGGGCTGCTGACACACTAGGGCCACAGACACTCAGAGGTCAGCCAGACCGACACTCGCCCCTGTAAAGGGGGGGGCGAGTCTGGCGTGCTGTGCTGTTTCCCTCAGTGACAGACCCTGAGGAGCTTGGGGTGACACAGTAATCCGCTGGCGCTGACGTGGTGTCTGTCCTTGCCTGCCACTGTTGGCTCTTCAGCTTGTCACTTGATCCCCTTAATCTCCCCCTCGCCCCCTCCAGCCGAGCACTAACTACTGTTCGCCCGGAAGCGCCTCCTGCCCTTGGACCTGGAGCACATGAGCCACAGGAGAAACCACGGGCAGGGCCCGCCTGTGTGCCTCAGTGTCCCCATCTGCTCTGAGCAGACTCCAGTGCCTGTGTCCTAGGGACATCCAGTATCTTAGAACCCCCTGCTGTGGGGCGGCAGGAGGGGAGATCCGTCCTCCAGGCAGGAGTGTTGAGCTAGCCCTGGAATTCGCCTTCTAAGGAAGGAGTGAGGCTCCCAGGAGGAGGCTAATCAGGGTCACCCCAACTCTGCAGGGAGCCCCGGCTTGGCTAGCAGCTGGGGCTCTTCCTTCCAGCCCCCTGGCGCCTCCCACCTCCACCCTCCCTGCAGCTGGCAGAGTTGTTGGAAGCTCCCAGGGTGGTGAGTCGTGAATGGGGCAGGCACCTCTCTGCTCCTACGGCAGGTGGCTGAAGGGGCAGCCCCAAAGCCTCCTTGGACTGTGGGCAATGGGCTGGGCCCCCAGAGGGACGGGGTATGTGAAACCAGGTCCTGCGTTCCCCCCACCCCACCCCGCCCCCAGCCTCTGCTCAGGCCTCTCAGTCTCCACCGGGGGCCCAGGCCCTTCTGCAGAGCGCTGGGCCCAGGGCCCCCGAGCCTGCCGGCAGCTGCCAGGATCTCATCTGAAAGCTGGGCCTGCAGGAGGCTCCATTGCAGCCCCTCCGATGCGCTCACGTGGTCATTGACGGCTCCTTGCACCCCCGTTGGTTGCTCTATGGAACAGGGCTCTCAGGACCGGTCCCTGGTTTCTCCAGGCTAGAGCAGGAAGGGCCCTGTTCATGGGTGCACGGTGTGGCTGCTTGTCATTTCAAATGTTCACAGGGGCCGGGGAATCCCCAGTGCCAGGCACAGCTGTGAACACTGGGAGACTGTTGAACCCACCGTCACCTCCTGGTGCCCACCCTCTGCGAGTTTCCATGCCAGAGGGGGGAGAGACAAGCACTCAGGAAGTTCAACAGCCTGAGAGGCACGTGCAGCTGGGAGCAGCAGAGTTCAGAAGGGCGGGGAGGCTGCCTCTGACGCGGGGCCCCAGTGGACCCCTGAGGACAGGACAGCCCCAGGCTGGGCACAGAACACCCAACCCGGGGCTATGAGCCTGTGGGGAAAATATAGAGTAGCATAAAAAATGAGGCCTTGGGGGCTTGAGAATACAGCGGGTAGGGCACTTGTCTTGTGTGCAGCTAACCAGGGTTCAATCCCCGGCATTCCATATGGCCCCCAGAGTGAGTGATCCCTGATTGCAGAGGCAGGAATAACCCCTGAGTGTTGTCAGATGTGGCCCACAAACAAAAGTAGGAGGCCTAAAACAAAATTTGGGGGGCTGGAGCAATAGCACAGGGGTAGGGCGTTTGCCTTGCATGCGGCCAACCCGGGTTCGATTCCCAGCATCCCATATGATCCCCCAAGCACTGCCAGGATTGATTCCTGAGTGCTGAGCCAGGAGTAACCCCTAAGCATCGGCTGGGTGTGACCCAAAAAAGCAAAAAAAAAAAAAATGGGGGACCGCAGAGATGGTACGGGGGGTTGGGGAAGGGTGCTTTCCTTGAGGCTGCAGCCATAAAGCTTGTCTTGCATGTGACTGACCAGGAGGCTGACCAGGGTTCAATCCCCAGCATCCTATATGGTCCCCTGAGCCCTGCCAGAAATGCAGAAATGACCTCCGAGTGCAGAGTCTGGAGTAAGCCCTGAGCACTGCCAAAAAGCCCTGAGCAAAACCAAAGAAAAACATGAGTTTTTTTTTTAAAGATTTTCTTCTAATTTCAGAGATCTGCATGCTAACCAGTTTCAGAGGCTTTTGTGCTTGTAAACTTGAAAAAAAGTGAGACCAGAGAGGGATGATCAGGGGTTGAGGTGCAGCCGACCTGAGTTTGATTCCCAACACCGTGTGGTCCCCGGGTGTCCCATGGAGGGCGACCCCCGATCATGTTGCTGGGAGTAGCCCCCAAGTTGCCCCCAAAAACTGTTGTGTGTGGCCCCACGAAGACCGCAGGACGTGTCGAGAAGCGCAGCTCAGACAGAAGCACCGCTGACAAGGGGCTGCGCCTTTCGGTTTTGTATGCATTTATATATGTTATATATCTTTAAACAAAAATAGTATCATGCTATATACATTATTTTATAAGCTGCTTTTCCTCCCTCCCCCCACAGCGAGCAGCACGTCACCTCCCCTCGTCAGTGTCATCCGTCAGCCTCCTCCTCACGCGCGCCGCGGAGCCTTCTCTGCCGTGGACGTGCCAGAGTCCTGAGTCAGGCCCCGCCAGGGGACACCCCGCTTGATCCCGGCCCCCATCCCCGCCCCACCATTTCCCCGGGCTCAGATCCCAGCAGTGAGGTGGCTGGCTCAAAGGGTCTGTGGGCTTTGGAGGTGCTGCCTTCCAGAAAGATCTTTGAAGGAGTAGACCCTGCCTCCAGCCAGGGTGCTGGGGAGCACGAGCTGGGGTCCGAGTGTCGTGTGTCCCCTCCCATGCCCATCCTCTGTCTTTCTCTGCAGGGCGGAGCCCATCAGAGCCACCGTCTTCCAGTACCCTGTGGGCTGGCCACCGATCCAGGAGCTGCCGCCGTCCCTGCGGGCACCCCCACCGGGGGGGTGGCCCCTGAAGCCCAGCGTCCAGTGGGGCTAAGCCCCTGCGCCCCCCCCCCCCCCCCCGGCTCCCACCTGTCGAGTCACTCTGAATCAAGACTCAGCCTGGGGAGCCAGGCCCCTTTCCTGCCAGCCCTCTGCTCCTGGCGGCTGTGCTCTCGGGGGACAGCTTGAGAAGGGGGGGAGCACTGCCTTTGGGGGGGCCCCTCGAGAAAGTCTCCAGAGTGGTCTGGCTGCTCATGGCCCAGCCCTGCACCCCAAGGCCCAGGCTCTGCCTCTCCTCAGAGGACGTGGGGGACGGCGAGGATCAGGGCCTCGGGCTAGTGGAGGCCCGGCACGGCTGGGCAAGGGGGTACCCGCGTGTCCGGGCCGTCCCCTGGGTGAGAGAGGAGCCCGAGGCCTCTGCTTGCCACCCCAGTGTGGGGCCAGTGCGACGTGAGTGGCCCAGTCAGAGCAGGGACCCCTCTAGCGTGCCGGCCCGGAGGGCAGAGAGAAGTGAGGGGCCCAGGGGACGGGTCTGAGGCTTAGGAGAGTGAGCGGCCTGCCCGAGGAGGGTGGCACGGAGGCCCCTTGCCCAGGAGGACGCCGCCCCCACCCCCGGGCTGGCAGCAAGATCACAGGCTGCTCAGGTGCCGGAAGGAGCCTGGCGACCGGGTTCCACTGCCCTCACCAGGCTCGCCCCAGGACTGGGTCTGGGCTGCCGAGGTCAGGGAAGGGAAGGCCAGGGGCCGCCCTAGGCACCCCCCTCACCATGAGCTCCTGCTCTTCCTGAAACCCCCACACCCCTCGGAGGTGGGGGAAACTGAGGCCCAGCCTGGGGGGTCCACTGAGCCTCGGACTCCTCAGTAAGCTGGGCTGCTGGGCCTTGGTGGGGTGGAATCCGAGGGCTGTGCCAGGGGGCAGGGCCAGGAACCTCAGCCCCAGGCCTCCCCGAGCCTGGCAGCTTTCTGCTCCCGCCTTTACCCCAGTCAAGGGCCAGGGTGGGGCTGGCTGCACTCCAGGGCCGCCCGCACAGTGCTCCTTGCTTTCCAAGGAGCCCCCGACTGTGGGAAGAGTTAGTGCTACATACAGGCCTCGGGGGAGAGGGGGCGGGCACAGATAGGGCGCAGGCAGGGCTGGGGCCGTCCCCCAAGCCACCACCCGGGTCCCCTGCAGGCGGCCACGGCTCCATGCAAGGCCTGGGGGGGGGCTGGAGTGGGGGTTGGGGTGTCCGGACAGCCAGGCCCCGGAGTACATGGGGCGGGGGCCCAGGAGCTGACCAAGGAGGAGGGCGGCAGGCAGCGGTGGGCGTGGACAGGCCCCATGCACCCCGCGCCCGGCGGGCACTGGGCGGTGCCTACTTCATGCCGCTGCGCAGCACCTGGTTGGCCGCGATGAGCATGACGCTGATGATGAAGGCGATGGCGAAGGCGCAGATCAGGCTCTTGCGCACGCACGTCTGGCGGATCTGCTGGCTGGAGCAGGCTGGGGAGCCCGCCGGGGGCGAGATGAACCACCTGCCCCGCCGCACCCGAACCCAACCCAGCACCGCCCGGTGGGGGACGGACAGGGGGCCCTGGGGCCTCCTCCCACCTGCGGGGCAGCCCGGCCAGCCAGCACTCACTCTCCACATCCACGGGGCACTCCTCGGCCGTGCCCAGGTGGCTCTCCTCCTCCGTCATGATGATGTTCTCGATGTCTTTCATGGACAGGTGCTCACAGAAGGTGTCATAGAGCAAGCGCTTCAGCTCGTCCACGGTCAGCTTCTGCATGTCGCACTTGGGGGGCGGGGGGCACAGTCGCCATGTGAGCCCAACAGGGCCCCACGTTGCCCCTGGCTGGGAACCACACCCACATCCTGACTTCTAGGAACCCCAGCCAAGTCGCCCCCAGGGAGCCCAGGTGCCCGGGCATACCTTCCAGAAGACGGTGTCAAAGTCCGTGCCGTGGAACTTCTCTGGGATCCCTGACGTGGACAGCTTGGGTCCCAGCAGGGTCACAAACTCCTCAAAGTCCACTTGGCCATCACCTAGGGCAAAAACAGGCCGGGTCAGCAGGGGGACCCAACGTCCAGAATCTTCCTTCTGTGGGTTCTCAGCACCCCGCAGCTGCCCTGGGGGAGGGGTGTGGACCAACCCCACAGATTCCCCATCTGGACAGAAAACAGCCGGTGGGGGAGGGGTGAGACTGATAGGACAGCGGGAAGGTGTTTGCCTTGCACGCAGCTGACCAGGGTTCACTTTCCAGCCTCCCATATGGTCCCCTGAGCACAGAGCCATGAGCACTGCCGGGTGTGGGTATCCCTCCCCCCCAAAAAAAAAACCCCACTTGGCCCTGTAATTGGAGAGGAGAGAGGGGGGCATGGAGACGGCTCAGACACTGGGCATCACACTCCTGTCCAGGAATTTTACATCAATAAAATGCTAGCTGGTAAATCCAACTACACTGGTGGGTTTTATTGAGTGATGAGAGTTGGGATGTTCAGTCTAGCCTTCGCTACTTTTCCATAATTAAAAAAAAAAAGAATCTCAGAATCCAGAGTAAGTGGGGACAGTGTCTCAGCTCTGGTGTGGCCAGGCCGTTGCTCTCTGACCTTGGTTCAGCAGGTGGGAAAGCCACAGGCCCAGACCTGGCTGCAGGCCACCCCGGGCAAGGCCCAGTGGAGGTCCAAGCAGCCCTGGGGGAAGAGAGTGGAGGGGCGCCCCTCACCGTCCATGTCCAGCCGCTGGATGATCACCTCGAGCTCCACCTCGTTGGGCATGTAGCCGAGGGAACGCATGGCCGTGCCCAGCTCCTGCTTGGAGATGAAGCCATTGCCGTCGCGGTCAAAGACTTTGAAGGCCTCTCGGATCTCTGTGGGCAGAGCAGAGCCGGTGGGACCCCAGCCCAGCCCGTCTCCCTCCCAGACTCCAAGCCTGAGTCCCCGCAAAGCCTGCCAGAGGCATGGGTGGACCTATCAGGGTCGCCTTCTGGAGTCGGGGCAAGTGATGTGCCCGCTCCCAGGGCGGGGACCAGGCGAGTCCCCTGGCACCGACTCTCCTGGCGTGCTCACTGTGGCCCACGCAGCTGCACCAGCGCAGGAGCTGCAGTCCCCACCGTCCCCCCTGCTTCCTCCCCAGCCCAGTGTCCTCCCGCTGTGGGGCCACCCTGCCCGCTACTGTAAGCAGGAGGACACTGAGGACCTGGGTAACTCCGGGGCAAGGAGCCCCATGCTGGGAGCTTGGGAGCAGGTGACTCAGTGAATGGCCTCAGACTTAGCCACGATGGTAAGGGTTAAGACTGCGTGTGGAGGGATTCGACAGGTGCACCCACAGGATCGGCGAGCACCCCGGCCTCCTCTCACCTTCACTCCTCCCAGCCAGACCCTGGGGAGTATGTTCCTTTTGGTGGGAGGCCGCAATCCATGCCCACTCTCAGTGCTCCAGCAATTTGGGGTCTCCTTGATCAGCTCAGGTGCTGGCTCGTGGCCTCCGAGGAAGCCCAGTGCCCTGGACGGGGCTTCGCAGGCAGATGCGAGCGTGTGTGCTGGCATATTTGGAAGGACCGGAGGAAGTGCAGCGGGGAAGGTGCCCGCTTCGCATGTGGCTGATCCCAGTTTGATCCCCAGCACCACAAGATTCCCCAAGCACCACTGGGTGTGCCCTGCTGCCTCCCCCCACCATAAAAACAGAAGTGGCCCAGACTGCAGGTCACAGGCCCAGGCAGAGACCTGTCTGGCCATGCCTGAGTGGGCTGGGCCCCTATACTGTCTGACTCTGGAACCCCTTGTCTGTCCCTCTGCCGGGGGGCCCTGAAGAGCTCAGGTGGGACACCCAGGTCAGGCCCACGACTTCCAGTGAAGCAGGACTCGGGATGCCAGGGCTAATCCCACTCAGAGCTTCCCTGGGAAGGAGTGAACCCCTTCTCCAGACTTGTGTGGGCCGTCTGCTGCCATGGAGGCTACTGAGGGGTGACCTGACACCAGGAGTCTCCGGGCAGACAGGAGGGTGCCCCTGGGCCACCTGGCACGGCCTCTGTTCCCCCCGCCTCACACCCAGGAGTCAGAGCAGCCCTTAGGACCAAGGGGCATTCGGTCCTAGTGGACGCCAGGGCCGTCCACCCCCGGCCATGGAACACAGTCTGGCATGTGGCCTTTGAGGACTTCACCCCAGACTCTCTTTGCCCATTCATGAACTGGCCTGCCCAGGCGCCCATGGACCCCCCAATCTCCCCTATTTCCTGCACTGACCACGGTGGCCCATGAGTCACGTGCACCAAGAGGACAGGGACCAGCCTGTCTTGCGCACGCTGTGTCCCCGTTCCCTGGCACGGCAGCTGTCACTCCCGAGGAAGTGGTGGCTGGATACATGATGTAATGAATGAATGACTCAGGTGAGCAGCCCTTCCCCCACCAGGAGCCCCCAGAAAAAGGAGCGGAGCAGCCGTTTCTGCAGTTTAAGCTGGCCCTCTGCGCACTCATGTCTGAGTTTCTCAGCCGTTCTAGAAAGGAAGGTTAAGCCTTTGCTGCCCACACAAGCAAGATGCACTGGGGGAGGCTGAAGACAGTCCCCAAGATCCCCACCCCCATCCAGGGGGACCCATCTCTGGGCCCTCCTCTGAGGAGGCCTCCTAGGAGATTAATGTGGGGTGACCCCAATCTGGACACACGGTGAGGCTACAATGGATGCTGCCCCCCCAGCCCTAACAATCAGCCACAGTCCCATCTGTCCCCCCACACACTTCTGCCAGAGCCCCTCGCCTTCAGGAAGCTCAGAAGAAACCCTGGGCTGGACGGAAAATCATGAGCACGTGAATCTTGGGGCTCGTGGGCAGCTCAGGGGCTCCACAGCCCTTTCTCAGGCAGAAGGAGTTTTCCCAAGACGCCTAGAAAATCCAAAGACAGCCACCTCTGTATCCAGGGTCCCTGCATGACTGTCCCAGCCCACACTCCTGCCTGGGGCTGCCCCTCAGCCTCACTGTGAGCTCTGCCCAGTCCCTCAGGAGGGCCAAATTTAGGGGCCAGAGAGTCAGTGCTCAGCCCCCTACCCACACCCTACAGTGCCATTCACATCTCTCCCAGCTGTTGGCCACTGACAGGGCTGCGGGGTGACAAAATAGCTATGCAGGCCGGGCTGAACTCGGCAGGACAAGGCATCAGACGATTCCAGAAGGCAGAGCCCGGAGGGAGGGAGGCGAGTGTGGGCTGATTTCCTGGCCTGGGACCGAGCTTGGATTCCAGCTCTGCTGCCCACAGCGGCCACACCTGGGCAAGGCCCTTCTTTCTCCCATCTGAGCCTCAAATGCCTCACGTGTGAAATGGGGCCGGGCCTCCCCTAGCGTGGTCGAGGCCTTCTGTGGGGCTGGGGGCGGCCCCCACGTGGGTGGGTGGGCGTCTCCCTCCCCTGTAGGTCTGCAGTCACCAGCACCTCCCCGCAGGGCACGTTTCCCCGAAAGCCGCCGCATCCCCGCCTTGGAAGCGGGGAAACTCGCTGAGCTCCAGCTTGGCAAGGGGACTCCTGGCTTGGGAAAGGGCTGGCAGGGCCTCTGGGTTCTGGTGGACACTGTCCCCCACTTGCCACCTCGGGTCACCTCTTGCCACCTCCCCACTTCCCTGCATCAGGGCCTAAGTTCTCAGCAGACATCCAGGGCCCCCTGGCACTGTATCAGGCAGACGGAGGCCAAAAGAGGGGGTGCAGAGGCTGGAGGGCATCAGGGAGGGCCGCTCCTGTCCTCAGCCGCAGCAGTCGGATTGGCCATACACCCCGACACTTGGGCCACCCTAAGTTTCTGGCCGGTGCAGCATTGTGGGGAGGATGGACAGGAAAAGGGGATCCTCCCTGCACCAGGCCCCCAACACTCTCAACGCAGGCTCCACTCTGCCTGGCAGGCCAAGTGTCCCCCGGGAGGCCTGCCCGGAGGTGCCCGTCTCCTCCCTTCTCTCTCCAGGTGAGGGTTGCCCATTCCTGGGGGCTCAAGCTCTCCCTGGGCTCTCTCTGAGGCTAGACCTAAAGCCTCTGTGGGTTCTGGGGGTCTCTGTGCAGCAGATAACAGACAGGGACGAGGATATTCTGGGTGCACCGCCTGCTCCCGTGGGGGCTAACTACAGCTGCCGGCCCCCAGGCCCTGCTATTCAGGACCCTCCACCTCCCCTTGTCCAGACCTTTCAGACCCTTCCCACCCAGCCCGCCCCCCCCACCCCCACAGCCCGTCTCTGGGGCATTTGTCCTTCCAATCCCTGGAGGTCCCTAAACTTCTTTGACCCCCCCCCTTCCAGAAAAACAAAAAAATCCCCTTGGAGATCAACCTCATTGGACGAACAAAGAGCGCCCCCCTCCCCAATTGCACCCGAGGCAACTACCGATGCCCTGTATCCTGGATCACCCACTTGGGGGAAACTGTGCTCAGCCCCTCCGCCTGCAGGTTCCCTTCCCAGACACCACTGCCACCTCCTGCACCCCTGCTGCGGGCTAGGCCCCGGGCTGAGCTTTCCCAGCAGCCCTGGAGGGGACTTGGCCAACTCCTGCCACAGATGGGGAAACCGAGGCCAGGGGTTAAGGGATGAGCCAAGGTCACGCCGTGGGTGAAGGGTGCAGACTCGAATCCAGCGCTGCCTGGCAGGGGACCCTGCACCTGAACCCCAGCATTCCACCCCCGTCCCCCGTGAGCACCCTCCCTCCCGCTGTCTGCGGCAGACACGCACATACGGTCTGCAGCACGCCAGCCCCGGGGCCCAGTTCTGCTTCCTGGCCCCCCTCCCAGCAGCAGGATGGGTCCTCCCACGATGGCCCAGCACCCGGGGCATAAAGGGGCACTGTGGGGGCAGAGGGGACCCTGTGCCCGGGATGGTCACCCTGTCCTCCTAGCTATGGGTCCGGGGACGGCCTCCCGGCTGCCTGCGGGCAGGGGCCACCACAAAAGGGTCGGTCACAGACATCCTCACGGCCTGCTCTGTAGCTTCCCGGGAGCCGGTAGGTGACCTGGGGCCTGGCCAGTGTCTGCTGGCCCCACAGTCCTGTCTGCCCAGCCCGGCCCCCTGAGGGCCCTGCCCTTCACATGCCCCCTGTGCCCAGGGCCACTCTGCTCCTCAGAGCCCGAGGGAGGGTCCCTGAGGGGAGTCTGCAGGGCGAGTGCTTCAGGGTGGCTGGTGACACACTGCTGGGTTCTTGCCAGCGAGTCTGCTGGGCAGTCCGAGGAGAGGTGGACGCCTCCTCACCCCTGCCCAGTGCCCACTCGCCCCTGCGTCCCGGCCTTGTCTCAGCCGCTCCCCTTCTTGGGGGGCTGCATCTGGGAAGGAGGGAGAAGAGGGAGCCGGCCAGGCACAGCTGCAAGGCGGGGAGTGCTGGGAGCTTGAGGAAGGGATGAGGTGGAGTGTGGGGGACCGGGGGTGGGGGCTCATGGATGTCCCTGAAGGAGGGAGGGATGAGGGCCTAGTGGGGGGACAGTTAGGGGTGCATTGGACAGAGGAGACGAGGGTGAGGGAGTGAATCTCTGCCCCCCACCCTCTTGCCTCCTTTCCACTCCCTGCTTTCCTGGCCCTCTATAAGGCTCTGATTTCCAGGTAGGGCCCTGAAATTCGGGGCTCAAGGCCAGAGCCCCAAGAGAGGCGGCAGCTGGCACCAAGCACACCCCACGCACAGACCCGGTCTTGACTCTCCCAGCTCGCAGGGGCTCCGCGGACTTGGTGCCAAGCAAGGGGCTCATGGCTGGTGGCGCAGTGGGATGGGGGTGGGGGGCAGTTGCTTTCTCTCTCCTGCTCTTCCCTGGGCCCCTGAGAATTCCCCAAGCTGGGCTGCGTCCCTTCCCCCAACGGCCTGCCACATCAGTGCCCACGCCACCACCTCACCGAGCGGTGCCTCTGCCAGAGACCCCGAGACCCCAGACGCCCCAAGAGAGGCCCGGCCTCTGGGTGAGCTCAGCTCCTCCTCGCCGCCCCCAGCAGATCCCGATGGACCAAGACTTCCGTCAGCCCAGAAATGCCCCCCCCCAACACCACACTCCATATGGGGCCCCAAGACGTCTGCGGGGGGAGGGAGAGCCTGAGCACCTGCCCCCACGCAGGCGGGAAAGCGCGCCCAGGCCCCCCGGATCTCGCTGCGCCCAGAATCCACCCAGGGACCCCCAGCCCCTGCCCCCTGCGCGGATCCCGCCAAGCTGCGCGCCTGGCGGTCCCCGTGCACCCCGAGAGGTGGGGGCGCCCGGGGGAGGGGGTCGTCCACCCGGTCGCTCTGCCTTTCCCTTCCAGGCTGTGTTATCGCGACCAAGCCACCCAATCCGGCCACTTGTTGTCGCCACCACCGCCCGGGCCGCCTTCCCGGCACTCCGGGCTGGGGGTCCCCGCAGGAGCGAGGGGAAGGAACTGGGGGCTGCGGGTGGGGTGGCCAGAAGAGGTCGGGGCGCCCATCCGCCCCGCAGGAGCCGGCCAGTCGCCCTCTCCCCTTCGCCGGCCGCCCGAGCAGATTGGATTTTCCGAGCCACACGAGCGGAATGTCAATGCGAGCGCAGAGCCGCGGGCGGCCACCGCGGAGGGGACCCGGCTGCGGGTGCTCCGGCCGGGGCGGGCGCGCGGGGCGGCCCCTCGGACCCCGGCCCCGGCCCGCCGCCTTGCCGCACCGTCACCGCGGACTGCGCGGCCCCGTGACCCCGCTGCGGGGCCCGGCAAGTTTCCGCAGCGCAGGGGACCGCGCGGGCCGGGCCCCCTCCCCGCGGCCGGCGCGACCCCCTCCGCGGCGCCCGGCGCGGGGAGCGCCCTCCCGCCGCCCCGCGCGCGGCCGGCCCGAGCGCCCCCGAGCACCTGCGGCCGCCCCCAGCCCCTGCGCCCCTGGCCCGCGCTCCACCTGGGCGCGCAGGTAGGAGGGTCGGCGCGGGGGCCGGCCGGGCACTCACCCTCCAGCTCGTCCTCGGGGATGTCCACCGGGCGCTGCTCCGACAGCAGGTTGGGCACGGTGTAGATGCCCCGGTACATCAACGCCGCCGTCACCGGGTGGAACGGCATCTTGGAGGCTCCGCGCCCGCCCGCCCGCCGCAAACTTTGAGGTCGGGGCTCATGGGCCGGCGGCGGCCCCGGGGGCGGCGGGCGCGGGCGGGGCGCGCGGCGGCGGAGGGCGGCGAGGCGGGGGGCGCCCTCCGGGGGCCTAGCGCCCCGGGGCCCGGGGCCGCGGGTCCATGCCGCCCCCTCCCCGCTCGGGCTCCGCTCGGGGGCGGCGCCGCGCGGGCCTCCCCGCTCGGGCCGCCTCGCGCTGCGCCCGCCGCGCCCGCTCCTCGGTGCCCCTCGCGCCGCGCGCAGCTCGCCGCCCGCCTTGCCCGCTCGCCGGCGCGGCCGCCCGGCCCGCCGCTCCGCTCTCGCCGCCTCCCCGGCTCGCTCCCTCGCCCGCTCGCCCGCTCTGTGCCGCGCTGGCTGCGCTCCCCGCCTCCCCCGTCCGCCCGCCCCCTCCGCGCGCCCTCCCCGCCGCGCGCCCCTGCCCGCCGCTGGCCCCTGCGTGGCCACCCCGCGCCGCCCAGGGGCTTCTTCTCCCCTCCGTGCCCCGCCCGGCCCCGCGGGATCCCCTGGCCCCGGCAGACGATCGCTCGCCTCCCCTCCTCCCCGGCACCAAGTCCGCAGCAGCCACCAGGACCAACGTGGGGGTTGGGTGGGGGCCCTTCCTTCCTGTCCCCTTGGCCTGCCCCTAGCCCCGCCAGAAGGAGCCCCGGGCCGGGAACTGACAACCAGGGGACCTGACAGCGAGGGGCCACGGCGATTCCCAGGCTCTGGTCCGCACGGAGAATCGCAGGCTCGGCGCTGGGAGAAGCTCCCAGGTGGAGAAACTGAGGCTGGGAGAGAAGGGCATTGAGCAAGGTCATGGGGCACCAGTGCGGGCAGACACAGACCTGAATGGCTCCCTTTTTTCTGTGACTGGCTTTGCTCCCCCGGCCTTAGAGCCCCAAATCCTGGCCTCCACCCCTGAGCATGCAGCAGAGCTGACAGCCCCCCCCCCCCAGATGTGTCCCCTGGCTCCCGGACACTGAGACGGACAGAGGTGCCCTGGTGGAGGTTTCAGAAGCCGATGCGTTTATCCACTGCAGATCGTGGCCCCAAAGTATCTGTGTATGGTAGTTGGGGAGCAGGTGTTTGTGGGAGCTGCCTGTGTGCGTGTGGCTGTTGTCGCCAGCCTGTGTGTGTGGCCGCAGATGGACAAGCATCGGTGTGCGCCCTGGTCAGGAGCAGGCAGGGTGGGGAGGTCAGACCCACGTGTGCAGAAAGGGCGTCTGCCATGCCCAGGTTCAATTCCCAGCATCCCATCTGGTCCCCTGAGCACCACCAGGAGTAATTCCTGAGTGTAGAGCAGAAGTAACTCCTGAGTATCACTGGGTGTATCCCCCCAATCAAATACACGTGCAGGCGAAAGCCTTGCACAGGTGTGTATGTGTGTGTGTGTGTGTGTGTGTGTGTGTGTGTGTGTGTGTCCGGACATGCAAGCTTATTTCCGGGGAGAGTGTCCCTCTGACCTCACTGTGGCCCCAGCCCCCAGCTCTGCCTCCAGGACCCTGCTGGAACCACTTCCCTGCACCCTTTGGGCCAATCAGCCCAGAGCCCCAGCAGCGCGGCTGACGGCCCTGCCCAGCCCTGCCCTTCTCAAGCTGATTACATTTTTTTGCCTTGTGGCTGCATTTGTTGCTGATTAATCCCAGCCCTATTTTGGGCCTGGGGAGAGAGACCTTAGGGAGAGAGGCTAACCCTGACCCACCAGGCTGGGCCCCAGCACCACGGGCGGCACGCACAGCTCTGGAGACGGCTCCCAGGAGCACCCCCAACTAGCAGAGGAGCGAAGAAATAGCCCAGTTTGGGGGCCTGTCTCCTTTGTGGGCTTGAGCATGCCTGCTGGGCTGGGAGTGTGAGAGGCTCCGAAAAGCCTCCTCCAGGGAGCCCTCCTCCTTGCCTGTCCCCTCCCATGTTCCACATGGCAGCTGCGCTGAGTGTACCCCCAAGAGGGGGAAGGAAGAAGCCCAGAGCCAAGGGCCAAGGCACACTCGGGCCCTTCTGCTCCCTCGTCTCCCTCAACCTCCTGAGCTCCCCGACTTCCCCCTGGGCAGAGGGCACCCATGCCGAGGCTGCGGCTGCAGCTCTGAGGGGCACCCGCCAGTGCTGCCCCCTCCCTCTTGGGAGCTTCCTATTAGCATGAAAATCCCCCTGGAGAAATATGAATTAATAATAATTATAGCTGCTACGTATTGATTGCAAGGGAGCTGCAGCAGATCAGTTCTCACTTGGGTGGGGGTGGGAGGGCGGCTGCTGCCCTGTCCCCAGGTTAGCGTTAGCCCCTGAGTGCAGAGGCAGAGTTGGGGCATGGGGGGGCAGGGGCCTGCGCGGTGCTGGAGGGAGACCTCACTCTTCGCCACCACTCACCGGTGTGCTGGCACCCGCCTGAAGGGAGGCTGTGCCCAGCTTGTTACCCAGCTGGGCAGTTCACAAAGGGAGGGACAGAGACCCTCCCGAGGCTGCAGAAGCAAGCACCAAGAATGTCCAGGCCCCGAGGATCTGTGAGGAGTGACAGCCCAGGGATCCCTGGGGACCTGGGCCTGCCATCAGACCTCAGTTTGGGTCTGTGACCAAGGGATTGGGCTTGCACCCCATGATCAGATAGCACCCCAGGGCAGCTCCCGGGGGCCACTGTAATAGGACCCGCTAAGGGCTGCTGGCGTAAGAGGCTGATGACCCCTGCTTGGGTGGCCTTGGACACCCTGGGTTTCTCACGTCCTCATCCTCTCTCCTGCCAGGCCATGGCTCCAGGGCTGGCTCTGGGTTCAGAGGATTCCCTGTTCCCTGGCCACACACCCCCTCGTCCCTACAGGCCAGGTGCCTAGGCCACAATCGCCTTGGAATCCCCCAAACTTTGAAGGCTGAGTGGCCTTGCCTGCTTTCCTTGGATGGGGGGGGGACTTGTCCAGGGAATTAATGAAGTGGGGCTGTGTCTGGAGGCTGGGATTCGAACCCAAGGCAGGAGCTGCTGGAGGGGGCTTGCCGGTGCCCTCCGAGTTGCAGGAATGCTGCCGCCTTGGGGAGCGGCTGTCTACCTCCATGATCCTCTGCCGTTGTGTCCTGGGGCAGGAGGGGGTCACAGGGCAGAAGGGGAGGGGGTCCCGGGGTCCCAGTCTGGGGTCCCAGTCTGTGAGCAAGTCAGGTGGGAGTTAGAGGCCAGAGCAGCATTACCCGGAGCCCAGAGCAAGGGCCAGGGGGCTGGAGATGGACAAGACTGCGGCTGCCTGCGCCGGCTGAAGGGCAGTCACAGGGGACAGGGACAGTTATTACAGAGGAAGGACATGACAGCAGCACTTGACAAGCTTCTGGCCCTTGCACGGAGGAGGCAGTGCTGGGAGCCGGCAGCGCTCTGCACGGAGAACCTGGAGCTGGCCAGGTGATGCCTGTTGGTCACCTCTCCCGGGCTCTGCTCGCTCCCAGGGGACCCGAACACGGCCACAAGCCCGCAGCAACAGTACTGAGAATGCTCAGTGCCCGAAACTCGGTGTCTCTCCCTGTGATTCCAGAGAGCTCCAGAAAGAGAGAGGAGGCGGGGTGGACAAGGGTTCTCCGGTGTGAGGACTGTCCTTGGCTCAGGAGGGCAGGGTCTGGAACCTTCTGCACCCACCCCCTCCCCACGGCTCCCCGTGCCTGGTGCAGGGCTGGGCTGGGCTGGGGGGAGGGGTAGATGATTATCTGCCAAATGAATGAATGACAGGATGGACGAATGAATGAAGGAGAAGCCCCCGCCGCCTCGCCCGATGCACTGCAGCCCTCTCCTCCCCTCTGCACGCCACGGGGGAGCAGATGGCATGATCGCAGGGTGTGAATTATGTCTGTCACTCCCCCAGCTGGAGAAGGTGCTGCCGCCATCACACTTCTTTCCCCTGGGTGCCGCCAGGAGACTCATGGGACCCTCCCAAGAGAGATCACCACACACCTTGCGCGCTAATCCTTGGCTCGGGGTGCTGGAGACGCAGAGAAGCAATACTCTTGCGACTGAGTCTCCACCAAACATCAGGGAAAGATGCCGGGACCCCCTGAGCAGCGGCCAGGGCCTCCCTCTCCAAAGCAGCAGGCTGGGGCCGCAGACACAGCACAGAGGGAGGCATCTGCCCTGCACGGGGCCAGCCCTGATTCCATCCCAGGCACCGCATCTGCTCCCCTGAGCATTCTAGGAGCGGTCCCTGAGCACTGTGTCAAAAGTGATCCCCGAGCACTGTCGGGTATGGCCTCAAAGTGGAAACCAAAGTAAAACCAAGGAAACTCCAACAAGACCAGCAGGCTCCCCGCCCTCAGCCCACATGCCCTCCGTCCTCTCTGGCCTGAGCCCAGCCACCACGGTCAGGACCAAGGATAGTTCCCGGTGGATTTCTCAGAGCTGGAACATTTCCGAGACTGCGGTGGAGGGATTTTAAAGCCCCACAAGAAAATTAATGAACTGCTTGAACAGTGGAGGGGATTCAAACTGAGGGAGGTCAAAGACCTTGACCTTTTGGAGTTCAAGGTCATTCCAGGATCACTGACCACTGACCTGTCCCAGCTTTCTGAGGGAGGAAGGAGGGCCTGGGGCAGGGGTGGGGGATGAGGGGGCGCTTGTTTCCTTAGTAGAACAATATTGCTCTAAGAGTTCACTAAGGGCAGTGTCTGGAGGTGAATAAAATATTCATTGTCCGGGAAAATTTTCACAGTCACTTGATGAATCATGGAATGTATAGAACAGCGGGACAGCCCCGGCCAGGAAGGGGTGTGGACCAGAACCCAGAGGTCCTAAGTGTGCCCTGTCCTCCGAGGCACCCCCTGGGCCCTCAGGTGCCCAGCACAAAGGTGTCGGGAAGACAGAACAGGAGAGGGAAATGGCAAAGGGATCAGAGTCTTGACCGTGTTGCTTATTGTAAAGCAACTTGGTGAGGAGGCCAGGGCTGGACTTGGGGTCCAGTGGGCTGGGAGGGAGCTTCCCTGCTCTGCTGGCCTCTCTCCTGCCTCAGTTTCCCCCCTAAGAAATGGGGTCCATCTGCTGCCCTCCAGCTGGGCTTGATGCCAGAATGTGCTGGAACGATGGAGGCGAGGTGGCAGTTGAAACTCTTGCTGGCACATACAGGGCCAAAAGCTGGGCCCTTCCAGCTGCCCTCCCTACACCCGTCTCCCCTGCGCCCAGGAATGACCTGTCAGGCAGAAAATGGAGGTCCCAGGGGAGAGAAGCTTTTAGAATTCGGCAGGGTTAGGTGGCAGCCACTGTGGGCGGCAAGCCGGGCAGCACCCCTGGGGGCACACAGACCTTCCCTGTACCACCCCTCCCATGCAGTCTGCTTCCCACCAGGTTGAGCTGGGCCTGGATGGAGAGTCATTGGTGGGGG